CTATACTACACATGATTACACATCTCCAAAGCATAGCTATATATAAAGTGGTTTAAGTTTCCTTGGTTTTCCTATGTGGGATAAATGCATTTTTTCCCACAAAACCAACTTCTAATGACCAACTTTAAACTCCAATTTCTCATTCACCTGAGCATCATTTTCGACAAATAAATACATGAAATCGATGTTCTCGCGAAGGAGAACACATATCAACTTTGATAATCCACATTTGATCAATGGGTCACATCGAAAATTGTGCCAAAAGTGAGCTTGAGCCATGCTTCTTGTTTTATGTCACATTTTTTTATTTGATCTTGCCAACCTTTAAAAAATGGCTTTTTCTTCAACATTTTTAATTGGAAACAAAAAAATTTAATCTTTTTTGAAAATGTATTTATTTTTCCAGTCCACTATCTTGCTTAACATCTTGTTCTTGTGTGTTCCTTACTGTCACTCTCATTTCCAACTTGTAATCCATATGGAAATTTTACTGGTTGACCATCTCGGTGAAGCTTATTAGGAATGGGTCCACCAACCAATCACTAGCAAAGAAGGACCCCAATTTTTTGAATTTGATATCTGGGAGGTATCCTTTAAACACTACCATCATTTCATTAACTGATGAAGAATTGACAGATTTTTTCTTATGGGTGACAGACTCAGTTCCGAGGTATAGGCGCTTATGCAAACTATACGCTGCAACCTTCTTTAATTTTTTGTTCATCCCTTCTTTTTCCTTCTTTAATTTACGGTAGTTTGACTTTGAAATTACTAGCATTATACTTTATTTGTATTTGTTTTGGTTTTTGGTTTTTCTTTTGGTCTTGGTCTTGGAGGTAATTATCTATTTGGTTGAACAATAGTATGAATTTTTTTTATGCATTTTGGAAATTATTTATATTTCAATTATTGTTCGTTGAAGCATTCTTTTTATAGTCATGGGATATTTTTAATGAAGTTATTTTCAAATAAATGTGTAAATACTAACAACTCTATTGCGATGTAAGAAATTCAAGATTATCATTTTTGAAAGTATAGTGCAACGAAAATCCACTTCACAAAATAATATTTATAACAATTTTATATGTTTAAAATATAATGCACGATATACATAAATAAAGATAAAATAAATTAGGCAACAACTATATATCCTTGCACAAATGATGATGCGATAAATTGCTTGTGTTGTGAAATAAACTTAGCTACAAAAATCACTTGTTACATAATAAATTCTACTACAAATGTTGAATATCTTAAAATATATTGTGTAACACATCAAATGCATTATAAAATAATTTTAGCGACAAACATGACATGTATCAGTACAAGTATTTGTTGTTGCAAAATATAATAGGTAGCAAAGGTTACATCTTTAAAAGATTATTGCAACAAACATTTTTTCTAGTAAAAATTTTATTGAAATAATTGTTGCGGCAAACTAACTTGTCACCTTTTATTTTTTTCGCGACATATATGCAATGCGACGACATTATGGCAAATATTGTGTTGCTATTTTGTATTTTTTTGCGTCAAATAAACAGTGTTGCGATTTTGTTAATACGATGAATAACCAAAAGTTGTCGCAGAATGCATTTTGTGACTCAACATTCATGACAAACATACTTTTCATAAAAACTTTATTGGAATATTCGTTGCCGCAAATTGATTTGTCGCCATTTTAATTTTTTGCGACATATATACATTGCAACGATATTATGGCTACAAATATTGTGTTGCTATTTCATATTTTTTGCGTCAAACAAATAGCATTGTGATTTTGATAATGCGATGAATGACCAAAAATCGTCGCAGAACACATTCCGTGACTCATATAGTGCAACAATACCCGCAACAAACATATCGTCGTCACTAAATTACTTTTGCAACAAAATTTCAATTTTTGCGACATCATTTTTTTGTCACAAAAATCGGTTATTTTTTGTAGTAAATGGTCCAATCCCGATCATAATGGAAGTGGATTATTATCCACGATCTAATACCTTATTTTGTGAGTTTTCATGTCAAAATAGTGAATTTAGAACATTTTCCAATTTCGATGATATTTTCCATACAAATTTCTCCATTTTTCTTTCTATCATTTTCTCTCTCAAAATGCTAGATAAAAATTGGAGGTTGTATGTGAGTTTAGAGTGGTTATAGGAAGTTACAGGTTTGAATTTCAAGTTCAAACCATTCCCTCCAACCCTTTTAATATCTTGTAGGTTGGGTCACCTCATATGAGCAATCCACGATCCGTATTTTCTAACAATTGGAGTCTTCGTTTTTCACCCATGCAACAGTTTGAACACAATTTCAAATCAAATATATTTGTTCAAGAATGAATAACGCTTTCAATATTTTCTACTTTTTGAACAATCCACGTAAGCAATTTGTTCCACCCTTTTCTTGAGGCTACAACCAAAGAATATTTATTTGTTCACTAAAATAGCAACATAATATAATTTTGTTAATTACAATGAGAACATGAACTGAAATTGAACGGAAATATGGAACTAAATATTTAGAAATATTTCAGTTGCATACAGGAAATAGATTTGCAAACCGAGCCTGTGTATTACATAGTTTCCTTAAAAATAATTCATCCTTTCACCGTAATTGCTTTGAGACTTCATACGAGCGGTTGTCTTTCACGATACAAGGGAAAATCAGTAAAGTTTGAGTACTTCAGTTTCAACTCCATCGAAATGAATTTGTGTCACAACAGCACCACCAAGATTTATATGAAAGTGAAAACTTTTGGACCTTACTAAATTGGAAATTATGCAAGAGTGTGGAATTTTTCTGATGTGGAATAATGAAAAAACGAGCTCAGTTATAGACTTGGCCACATGAATGGTGGGTAAATCCGTCCAAAACATGCCTTTAATTTAATACTATAATGGCAATAACTATTAGAGTCGCACAATTTTAGAAGCTAAAAAGTCAGTTGGAGATACCAAAATGAAAGCGGAACGTGGATTCCTAAGGAGCCAATTTTTGCTCCATTTGGTTTCACATTCTTATAAGCAGGTCGTCCCCACAAAAAATCTCAAGACTCGATATACATTTTTGGTCATTGTGTAAGTGGAGAAAGTATATATGTTACACATGATTACACTATTTTAAAGTGTAGCCATATATAAAGTAATCCTTACTTTCATAAACTTTCCGTGTGGGACAAATTTAGATGTAGTTTTCCCTCCAGTAGAAATCATCTTCCAATGATCCATTTTGAATTCCAATTTCTCATTTATAAGTTTATCATTTTTGACAAGTAAATATATAATTTCGATATTCTCACAAAGAAAAACACGGATCAACTTTGATATTCCAAAATGAACAAACAGGTCCCACCTAAAATTGGGCCAAAAGTAAGCTCAACAAAGACTTTTTTGCAACATTATTCTCCAAGCTTGCCATTCTCCAAGTCACTAAGAAGCAGCATAACCATAAATTTAAAGTTAAAGTTTATAGACAAGTAGTGGATAAGCTACAAATGACAAAAAGCTTCTTTTTATTTTGAACACCGAACTATAAGAATAATTTTCAGTTTGCAAAAATGTCCTCTTCCTTCCATTCATGTGGAATCCGAACTTAAACCTTCAAAATTGCTTTTGACAGTCAAAGACATTTTTCTTTCCAGTGGCCTCTTTTCTTTCTTTTGGTTGGCTTTTTTTCTTTTTTCCCCCCATATTTTTGGTGGAAGGAACCTCTTGTTTTTAGATCCATGTGCAGCATGTATTAATCGGCCATAGCAATTTTTCATGACAAAATTTTCAACCCAGGATTCTTCAACATTTTGTCGAAAAATTCCTTTATTCAAGGATTTTCAGATGCTTCCAGTGGCCTACTTCTTCATTCTTTGGAACCTGTCTTCAGTTTTTTGGTACAGAAAACTGCTTGATTAATTCTTCATTTCTTTTAGCCTTTGAGAACATGGTTAGTGTCCCAATTTTACACGGACAGTGCAAATCTGTTGTTCTCAAAAAATGCGCCAATAGAATCCTTGCCATATCTCCTCTACGCAGTCATCATTTGCACACTCGAACACTTCATTAGGAGGCAAATGCCATTGGTCTAGAAAAATGTCCAACGATCATTTGCACTTCGACAATCAAGTTAATATGGTTAGAAAAAAATATAAAGAGTGTAAGAGACGATAGAAGGGTTTAGCTAAGGCTTGAGAACATATCTTGATTTTAAAATGAATCACATATATACAGTGAGAAAATAGGCCATGTGAGATAGTGGGCTAGACCAAGTCTAGGCCCGCCCAAAAGTGCTGCTTGATTAATTAGCTTGATATAATTAAGCCCTCGTCTGGCTCCTATTTTGTGGTAATGGAAATGGGTGGAATAATATTTTTTTGAAAAATAAATGGTAGAAAATGAAGAAATTTTTTTCGGTTTATATGTAATATTATTTTATGGAAGATTGTATAATTGAAAATAAGAAAGAGAAAAATGAAAATTAATGAAAACCAAACGGAGTCTAAATGATCAATGTCAAGTCAACGAATGTATGACTCTTTCTGTTATGTGTTTGTCACATAATATAGGAGAGAGCCCTTTGACAACCCCTTGATGAATCAATCAATCAATTCATTAATTGAACAATTAATTTGGTTTTGACCAAATTAATGATCGGGTCAGCCAGGCTTGTAAAAAGGTCTGGTAGAGCACTTCATCTCACATTTGGCACGTGGGGTGGATATATTTAGGGTATTTTTTTTTTTTTACAATAAAGCTATTTGTATATTCGGGATTGACACTCCGAATGACACTCCCTTCACAAGAAAGGGAGTCCATACATAATAAAATAATTACGAGCCTCCCTCTTGTGAGGGGAGTGTCATCCGAGACGTCAATCCGGATGTACAAATAGCGAAAGTCCATTTTTTTTAACAACGAAGGACCCACATAGACGAGAGAATGTGAGAGGAGGGCAGGCCTCGTAGGGGAGCTTAATTCTTTTATAAACTCCTTACTTTCTTGAGTTTCTACTTTCTACCCTCGAATCAAAAACCATCAAATTCCCCCGCAGTGAAACAGCTGATTACTAATACTACCAGACTGTTATACATACAAATATAAACACATACAGTAGAAAGAGGAAATTCACACAGCCCGATCTCCATCACTTTATAGTATGCAGAAAACGGCACAGACGTGGTTCACCGGCGGCCCGAGTAGCGATCTCGACAGATCCTCTTCTTCACTGCTTGCGGACTGGAACTCTTATGCTGCTTCCAAGGCTGAGGATGCCGAGTCATCCGGCATCGGATTCGATCTCGAAGCAGCCGTTCGTACTGCCAATGATAAAGTCTCAGGCACTTTCAACGTGTAAGTTGTGAAATTTGTGTATTTGTGCTTGTTTTGATGACAATATTACTGATTTTATTGAGATTTATGTGCCGTTAATCATATGAGCTTGTGTACTTTTTATTTGAGGCTATTAATACTGAAAATTTTTATATGATTTTTTTATGGTTTAATTAATTGTGGTAATATCGAGTACGTGTTCTTTAATTTGCATCGTGTGATCGATGTGTTCTCTGTTGGCAATTAGGGTACGGGTATGAGATTTCCATTTAAAAAAATAGCATTTTGATGTGAAAACATTAGCTGTCCATTCAGACGTAGTAGTATTTAAACTATATTTCCCAACGGATAATGTTATGATAAACTTAAGATTTTGCTGAAAATTTTAGGGGATTAGCATATTATTCCTATTGAATTATTTTTAGATCAACAATGTTCTACTGTTCAAAGATACTTCCTGATAAGTTCTCAATCTTGTACAATACCTTGTCTGTTTGATTGATCCTAATTACTATACTGGCATTCTCTTTGGAGGAATATGATTTATATGGTATTAATTGATTTCCCTATCTTTTATTTGAAATTATTGGTACTATTTTGCCTGCAATCTACTTGGCTTGAGATGTTACCTAACCATCACAATAACATTGCTGTCTAATTTTGCAATAACCAATTGTTGCTTAGTGGATGATATACATTCAAGTAATCAATCAATTTCAACACATAGATTAATGACATATATGCATCTGAAGAGTGTATCCTATGATATTTATATATTCACACGCACAAAAGAGGATAGCAAATGAGATGTTTTATAGCATTTTAAATTGCAGTTTGCTTCAGTGAGCAATTCACTCATATGGACTTTTTGTTAGAAGGTTTAAATTACTTTCTTCTGCAAACAAAGGCTTATTTGTTGTTCTTGTTCTTTGGGATCAATATGTCTAACATCGATTGAGACTTCCTTGGACAAGAAAATCTGTAAAAAATTTGTTCATGTCTTGTTTCATTGGCATGTTCTGTAGATAATTATGAGTAGTTGGATAATTTGAAATGTACTTTCGTTAAAAACTGCTCAAATGGGAGAATAGAACTTTTGGATTCTTCTGGCCTTCGCTTGTTCTTGTATATTTGGGTGTCTGTGCACATGTATTAAAGGCATTCTGGCTGCTAGGTATAGAATTTGCTAGACATGATTGCCTGAGTTTTGTTTGCTTTAGGGGGATGAGTTTGACTGTCGCACTTCTTATGACGCTATTTTTTTTATTTTTATTTTGGTTTGTGGAAGTTGCTAAAAATTCAGTATTACAGATAAGTTGAAATTACTTACCTATTTAACTGTATATAAGCTTTATGCTATGTGTATTTATGTAATAGGCAATTTTCTTGTCCATCTTTTCTGAAATATGAAGAAAGTATAACAGGGCTTACTGTCCATGTTTGGAAAAAATGAGAGTCGTAAATTTTCCCAAATCTTTTCTCAGATGTACTGAGAGTGGCTGGCGTATTAAATTCCTTTTACTTCTGTTACTTCTCAATAGTTCAATTTACAGTATTTTTCATTAACAGTTTCATCTCTCTTACCAAATTACATTCAGTTCCTTGGAATTCTATCATTCAACTCTGTTTTGGTTCAGTACAAACACAAACGTACAAATGTAATCTGTTCGACATTCTACCTTCTTTTCATTCATTACAAGTACACCTTTCAGCTACAATGGTCGACTCTGACAACTTACAATCAGTCAATATATGAGCGGATATGATATGGCTTGAATGAATTCATCTAAGAATTGCATCACTAATTGTGGATGTTCGGACATCTTTTAGAGTTGAGTAGCTAATTTAATGCTATATATAGTCCCGCAACACAGTTCTCCATTCCAGTGCTGCTAGTTCAATTCGTTCCTGTCTAACAAACACACAAGATTTTTTCATGAAACTCGTGCATGTTCATAATGTGATTGCATAAATCTCATAGTTCTTGAAATCATTGTTCGATGCTCATTCTTTTCATAGACATCATGATTAATTATTTTTTTGCTAAAATCATATCTTTGAAAATATTTAGCCTGTTTTTAATGCTTATGCATCAACATATTCTCACAGAATATATAGAGTAATTTTAAATACTGTGGTACTGTAAAAAAAAAAAAAAAAAAAAAAAAGAGAGTAGTTATTCACATGTTGGACAACCTATTGTTATCACTTGTCTAAGTTGGTGAATGTTTCTCGGGTGAATAGAATTTCTTTGCATTTTTGGGTTCTCTCTTACATTCAGTGTGGAATCTGGTTTTGTCATCCATGTTAAATTACGTGATTATTCTGAGTTTCTTTACATTTTGCCTTGTTTGTTTTTCTTAATTCGCCAAATATACTTGCACAGGGTTTCAAAAGGTGTTATGGATTTGCCAGGGAACTTTAATTCTGCCACGAGCAATGTCCCTTCTTCAAAGTCCCTGATGTACTTTGGGTTGCTTCTCGCTGCTGGTGTCTTCTTTCTCTTTATTTCATTCACTATATTCCTTCCTGTAATGGTGCTGTCACCTCAGAAGTTTGCTATTTGCTTCACTATTGGATGTGCCTTTATCATTGGTTCATTCTTTGCACTAAAAGGACCAAAAAATCAGCTTAGTCATATGTTATCAAAAGAGGTCTTTCACTTAACTTTTCTTATCGCGATGTTTTCTTTTGCTTGAATTTTCCAGTATATAAATATTGATTATTAGGAGTGGGAACAGTCAGGAACTGAGTACCAATGGGTATCATAAAAGTGGGACCATGGGGTTCCATTTCCAAATATGAAACTGAACTGAAACTAACCATTTTCATGTAATAAAGAATTCATATCCTCACTCATTTTGAAGACAAAATTCTGAAAATTTTAAATTTACAAGGACCAGCCACTATATATAGTATATTATATTAAAAAAATCGGGTTATATTGGGTTTTAGTTCCGAGAATTGGACTGGAACTGGTGAGTTCTCGGTTTTGTCCACTGCCCACCCCTTTATGCTAGTGAGGGTATTTTTTCTCTGTCGTTTCTCCTGATGATTGCTCTGACTGATCTCGTTTGTTTTTGTTATTTTTGCTTCCTTTTCAGAGGCTTCCTTTTACGTTGGGATTTATCAGTAGCATGGCGGGTACAATTTACGTATCCATGGTGCTTCACAGTTATATTCTTTCTGTTCTCTTCTCTGTGCTACAGGTATCAAATCCCTCTCTTCATGCTCCTCTAGAGAGAGCACCGATTATGACATTACAGTTTTCTGCACTCCATGCTATTTTATTTATTTATTTATTTTGAAATAATTTAACTCTGGTGAAGCCTGTTCAAGAACAGTTCCGTCACAAACTAAAACTGGTAGATCTTTGTTGATTAATATCTAAATAATTGTCATCGAGAGTCTTATTGTGTCTGCTTATTGTTAGGGATGTTGCTATCAAGATCCTTGCTTATTGTGTCTTTCCTTCAAATATGAAACAATGTTCTTACCCTTATAAAATGAAAAAGACAAAAAAGCAAACAAAATAGGAGGAAACTTAAGAAAACATGCCGATTTTATCATGCATTGTATCCACAAACAAATATCCACCGAGTTATGTGGTATTAGTTTCGAATTTGCATCTTTTTTATTTGATATCATAAAGTCAAATAGACATTTAACATATTCAATATACGGCAAAAGTACAAAATAACTTAATTGAAGAAAATTTGAGTTACATTATATATGCTCTCATTGACGTGTTCATCAGAGTTTTTGACACTTCATAATCTTGCTAGGTCCTTGGACTGTTGTACTATGCGATCTCCTACTTCCCCGGTGGATCAGCTGGGATAAAGTTTCTTTCTTCGACTCTTATGTCCTCTGTACTCAGATGTTTTGGAAGGTGACATGGGGTTTATTGGTTGTCACAAAAGAATTTTGTTCTTTGCTAAATATATTATAACATTTGGGATATGTTAGTTGGAAAAATAGAGTGGTGCATGGCTCTCTTGGTTATCTGTATGAATTTTGTTTAGGGGAATACTTATTAGACAGACCTAGACGCTATAATGACCATAATTTGAACTTGCTTTCCCTTTTTTTTTTTTTTTTTTTTTATAATTTTTTTATAATTTTTTTTCCCTTACAATTCATCTTGCTAAACATACCATTGATATTTACACGAGAAATTCATTTGCATAACTTCCTTCAAGCCCTAAATTCATTCTAATTGCTTGGAGAGGCACATTCTATAAAACAGAATTCCTGCTTTAATAGTTTAATAAACTCGAAAGGCAAGTGGAGAAACTGGGTCGGCCATTGTTTTCAAGGGCATTTCCTTTCCAACCCGATTCTCTTATGGCATTGAGAGAGAAATTTCAATTCTTGCATTTGCTCATTGTTGGGATTCCTCTCCCATTACTAGTTAATAAGAATGGCAATGGCTGTGACTTGTGACAGAACTGTATTCTAGGACTAATTTGTCCATCAAATCAAATTGGTCGAATTTATGAATCCTGCTAAAGTTTCAGTCAATCCTTGCCAATATTCAGGCTATGAAATTAAGAACATAAATCTAGTAATCCAAACAAGGACGACGAGGTGGGCCCCATCCCATGTAAGGGGGTGTGGACGCCTCTATGTACAAAAATTATGTACCTCTAGCATAACATTAAAATATTTACACCAAGATGTTATATTCACTAGTAGTGAAGAGTTTTACCATAAATCATCTTTTAAAAAACCAGTCAAGTAGAAGATTCCTTAAAAACTGTAAAAGGTCATCTAGCCATAATATGACGTGCTTTCAGTGACAATAAAATTGTAAAGGCTAAACCAACAATGTTCTTATAGCCATGGGAGGCCTTCCATACAGTCAACCTATCTTTATCGCATATTCGAGAACAGAATTTTCTCCTATGACGATATATTTGCTTTTCGTTTCTTTAATAGAGGGATCAGTTCGTATTATATGTTTTGAGTAATGCATTTGACCTCGAAATTCGGTGGAAACACGTGGCCAATAGATTTCAACTCCACTCTCATCCACGTGTTGAGTTCCTTCATATTGGGACAAAGCATTAGATGTACGTGACTTTCTATGATGTGGAGAGACGATCACGGGCACTTCAATGCTCAAGTCAATCAACTATCGAAAATGTCATTTAGGTGAGGGATAAACATTGAACGAGAGTAAGAATATATGGATTCGGGTTAAAGAAAAATACCAAGCAACCTTACTGTTGTAGTGTAAAATTGCATTACCTTTGGAAGACAGCAAGTGTTAGTTTTTATAGTGGAAGGAAATAAATGATATATGTTGGATGTTTGAAATGTGGCCTCATCCTAATGGTTCACGTGTTAGACTTGATAGGTGTCACATTTAGCTATCCTAGGTCCGAGATGATCTAATTAGCTAAACCTATAGGCGTACGAAAAGTTGATTGAAAGACCTTGGTGCAAAATGGCCAAACCTATAGACGTACGAAAGATCTCGTATAGAAAATCTTTGGATCAAAGCAATGTCATAGAATATGTCTTGTGAAGCAAAGGCCTATCACTCCGAAAATGCACTGTCGCCAATTGTGGGACATTGCTTGTAACATGGAGGTTCTGACTCTACCATGTCACTTCAGTTAAGGTTCCCAAATCACTTCGACCTTCGTGTCTAATAGCCTCAGCTAAGCTTAGGAAGATGAAGTAATATGTTATTCGGGCCTTGAGTAACTTCTTGCTAATTTCTTAGCTGATTGTCACATGAGATGAGATATAACAATAGTCCTTCCAAGTCTTGTCATGAATAATCATATAAGGCTTGGTAGGAGTGTGAAATGACATATAATATATTTAAAGGGATGGATTATGCACAACCTCTAAAACTTAGGTCTGTAGTGCTGATGTAGTGATTGATGTTGTCCAAAGTCGGTTAGTCATGGTTGGAAAGGTAACACTACAAAAAAGTGAATAATTATCATGTTGGCGATGTATAACAAATTAGTCTCCCAAATCCAAGCACGAATATACTTTTCATAAGTGAAGAGCAATTATAGGGATGAGGTCCCAATGTGGGATGAAACCTCTTTTTGCTACCAAGGCATTGCTATACAGGAAAAGCCCCCATTTACTTGCTTTTGTTTAGTAAGGGATTGGAAAACTTTTTTAGAGTAATTTTCGGAGAGATCATATCTGGATAGATAGACCTCTGTATTCGAAAACTTTTGGGCTTAATAGGACTGACCATGAAAGTCAAGTATTGCACTCGAACAGCCGCGCGATCATCGACCAGCAACTTCTGTAAACAAATAGATTCATTTTTCGTACTTGGATCATTTTTCAAGGATGCGGCCACTTCATGTAAGTGTAACATTTGCTTTCGAAACTATGCCTCTGATGTGGAGTGACATTGATGGGACGCGTGATAATGTTTTAAAAGGTTGCGCATTTTCAAGAGGCAATAGATAAGACATCATTTGGTTTAAGACAGGTGCAATCTTAAGCAATTAATGTCAAAGATGGCCTATGCCTTTACATATTTTGATACCATCGTCTCTTTGTGTGCTTGAGATGCGCAATTTCATCCTAACCCTCCATTCAATCTCAAAATGGTTCATTTTGGTTTAACAGTTTGAATGAAGCTAACAAATGGACGTCTCGTATCAATCTTGATTTGATCCAATGGTTGGGGAGACGAGGCATTGCCTATAAAAGGGGCCTTTGCTACATCTTCTGGATATTGTACTTTTCATTTTATCCTTCATATACCCTTGAGAGAATTTTAGCAACATTTGAATTTATGGAAAGTTTGTGATCCTAGATCAAATTTTAGCAAGAAAAATAACTTTTAGGTAACTTTTTCTTTGCATTTGTATAATTTCTTCATCTCTTTTCACTTTTTCTTTATTCAAAAACAAAACCTTCACAAAATGGTTGCAAATTTCAGCGAGGGCTTTGATCAGCGTAGAGTAGATCTTAGGATGGTCGAATTCAATTTGGTGTGCATAGCCTTTTGAATAGTGGAGGAATAACTAAGGCGATGGGTCGAACCAAATATATAAGCAATGCATGAGGGCATAGTAGACTTCAACATTAAGTGGGAGGCTTCGGAGGTGCCTTCAAACATGACCCAAGAAAAATTGGATGAATAAAGGTCCACGAGAAAGCCTATTATTTGAGACCTAGATAGTAGCGTAATTGAGGCTATCTTGAAGGTGGGAATGCACTGCCATTACACGTCTTCTTCAGATCACGTTGAAGTCTTTCATGCTTACTCTGTTCCAGCTTGCTCTAAATGCCTAGAGCTAAATGGTAGGCTCTTGGTTCGTGTAGAAGTTTTCCCTAGGCTAGGACGTGGCTCTATACATCCTCCTAAGGATTTTCGAACAAAAGGTCTTGAGAAAAGGCGAATGGCGCAAGGGTTGGTAGTACATGATGCTGTGGGGTGCCCACTCTCACTTAGTCATCGTCCTCCTGATTTGATTAAATATTGAAAATATATCTAGTTCTAAGTTCGAGGTAGATGGAAGATAGTGGATGAAAATGTGGTCCCAACTCTGATTATGCCCACATAATACACAGTGATATCATTAACATAGAAAACCACTGCTGATGACAAGTGAGGTAGATCACTACACGCCGATGCTAGGCCGTCGACCCCTCGGGGATGCTTTATTTCAACACAAGGACACCTATCTCCCGGGCGCTCTACCTCTATTCGAGACCGTCGACCCCCCGGGGGCGCTCTATCTCTACGCATGACTGTTGACCTCCTGAGTGCTCTACCTCAACAAGAGATTGTAGACCCCCCGGGTGTTCTACCTCAACGCAAAACCACCGACCGGCATGGAATTGCCCATAGGGTCATCTCAGCACTTAGCTACAAAATCTCGGATGAATTGACGAGGTTACATGGAGGTTACCACGGGCACAACCTCCGGGCGGGAAGTCAAGACCCCCCACTCAGAACGTGGGGATAATGGGAGGGCCAACGTGGGACACGTGGCACCACAACCACCCGGCTTTCACTCGACTTCCGACGTCTATAAATACCTCTGAGGGCGACACAAGTATAGATGATTGCATATTTTTTAGCCATCGGAATTTCGAATTTATTTTCTCCTAACACGTATATTAATTCTCACGCGCGGAGGTAAAACGGGGGAGAAAGCCCCACCATCACTTTTCAAGTTACCCACGTTCGTCGGAGTAGCAGAAACGTCAAAAGGCCGCTAGGCAAATCAGGAGGCATTATTCAACCACCATTTCATTGGTGCCGTCTGTGGGAATTTCTTCCATTGAACACAAAAGCCATGTCAAGAAGACGAACAAGAAAACGCTTAAGGGCAACAACGGCAGACACGAAAGCAGAATTCGTCGCTAGAGGCCTTGACCCACCACCGCCATCACCGTCGCAGTATTTGACACAAAGTCAGTTCAGCGCTTGATTACGCCCAAAGTATAACGTGATAGTTGTAGTACGGCTTTAGGGTGTCGTATCCATAGGGAGTTGGAAAATTTGTTAAATGATCAAAAGCTTAGGGTTTTCTTCGTGCTTTGTGTAAGGAATTTATCAGTTTGAATGAAATGTAACTATCAATTATTGAAGTAACGAGATTTGAATCAATGTGTGAAATAATGAAGCGCATGAATTCCCTCGATTGGTTCAGATTAATCAATGTGAATCACTCATTCAAATCACTTTGAGAAACGACAATATACCTCAAGTATAATGCAGTAATCAAATCACCAATAAAATTGTATGAAATTGAAATTCAACAAATAGTTAATTTCACAATAGACAAAACATGATTGAGTCTATGAGAAATATAGTAAAAGTTAAACTAATCTCATAACAATGCTTGAAGTTGAGACCTAAATCAATTGAATTTCACTTATAACTCTAGAATTTAGATTTCCTACAAGATATTCTCACTTTAATTCGTTGGAATTAGATTCAAAATTAATTACATACATCAAGCATATAATATTAGCGAATCACAGCAGTGGGATGATTGAAATTGGAATTCAATACATACTTCAATTATTCGATGAAAAGAACATTGTTAAATCCATAAAAATCTAATACATATTAAACCAATTTCAAAACATATTCAATAAACAAATCATAAACCTAGAATTGTTTATCAATGAAAAATCAAATTACATGCGTGAAGAGACATTGACATCACCGACACCAATCGAGTTTATCTATTGCTTCACCAAAGTTTTCTTAGCCTTTCATGGAGTTTCTTGGCCAAAGATGAGAGAAAAATGGAGTCTAGGTTTAATCCCCCAGGTTCTGGAGTGTTTTTGGGCTTAAGAAACGTGTTTCCATAAGTGATGACGTCAATTTAGGAATTTGGCAAATTTGGTCTTGGAGGATAACTATGCGACTGCATGAACCATGCGGTCGCATAGAACAAATGTGTGGCATCCAGAAGTTCCCTAGACCCTTCTACGTGGTCGCATAGCTTTTGAACTATGCGACCACATAGTTCAAATTTTTTTTTTCTATGCGACCACATAGTTCAAAATTTTTTTCGTCGGACAGATTTTAGTATTTTGATCATAACTTTTCTCCCCAATGTCCTATTGAGGTGACTCATGTTGCGTTAGAAAGATAACACGAAGGGCTAAAACTTTACTTCAGAAATAATCTTCCAATTCGATCATCTTCCATGTCAAAAAGGGGTCTCAATAAGAGGTTGAAAACTGGTGTGTAACTTTTTCGATTGGGAATTATTTTGTGAAGATGTTATGATCATATTTCACTTCATTTGACTTCTAATTGCACCCGATTGACCCTCAGCATTATTGAATCATCATTCCATCGCCCGTCTCATCTATGGATTATTTGTGACTTGGTCCTTAAACTTTCACTTTCTTCCACTTTGCCCTTTTTTTTACTCATTTCTTCCAAATTTCAACATTTTTCATCAAATTGCAACCTAGACCAACGTTAAATAATCATATGAATGCGACAATTAAGAGGGAAAAATATCATATTTTACACTCTTATCACACCCCCAACTTGCTTATTGCTAGTTCCTAGCAATTCAATGTAGAACAAGTAAACGAATGATTAGATTGTGATACAAATGAAATTATTAAGTTCTAACTTAACTGCAATTCATGCTCTTTTCAAACTCAACACCACAAGAACTTAACAATGTCATGATCATCAAGATATAAAAAACACTTGCCAAATGTGTGAGTATGTGTCAAGCCATAGCCATCTTATCCCCAACCTTAACACATGTAACATCAAGAATGTCTTGAGCTGAAGGTTCAGCTCCTCAACTCACGGGTATCAAAGTATTTAGTGTGATTTTTTTTCTCTATGGAGCTAAGAAAGGGATACACTCAGAATTTGGAGGCTTAAATGTTTATGAATGAACAACAAGCCAACATTGAACTTACGATAGGCATACAGTCAAATGAAAATTCATCATTTTCTTACCATAATCATACTTGGGATCAAAATAGTCAATGTAAAGGGTTGTAATGTGGTTTGGGTTAGGCTGTATGAAAATGAGGATATAAAAATTCAAGGACTTCCAAGCATGTAGCTAGGCATCTCATTAAGCATCTCGATAAATTACATCTTTCGATCAATACACCGTTCAATATTTCAACCCCAAAATCAATCAATTTTTTTTTTTTTTTTATAGGGGTGTTTTCCTTGAGCACATACTAACTCTTGTCATTTTCTTGCTTCTATTTTTCACAAATGAGTATTCAATACTTACTACACGCTTGGAAGTAAAAAGTTGGGTAAATACATGGATAGGTTATACTCCAATGTGGAAAAGTATGTATAACATGGGTGTATGAAGAAAATTCTATACATATATGTACGACTCAACATGGCTACTAGGGGTTGCAATTATTGAAAAAGAAGGCTCGAAAGGCTTATATGTTAATTCTAAATTGACCTTCATCATTTCTCAAGCAACTTACCATCTTACCACAAATCACAAATTCTCAAAAGAGTTTGCAATTCACAAAATCAATGAATGCTCATTGCTATTTTGGTACAAGGTGGCTCTCGATCCTCACTAATTCTCACAAGAAAACTTTAGCAAGAAACTACTTTAGCTATATGTGTTAAACCACTATCTTACCATAAGGCTTGTGTGTGCAAAAAGATTTAGCAAATGTCTCAACATCCAAACTTTCATAAACAACATTAATTCCTAGTGGCATATATTGTCATTCAAGAACATGTACTGAATTAGGGACTTAAAAAAAATTTAGACCAAAATTCCATGTAAATTATGTAAATTACAATACAATTTAAGTTAAACTCTCCCTCAACTAAACATTTCATTGTCCTCAATGTAAAAATATGTTTGCCAAATAAAGGTAAGGAAAGAAGTATAAGAAGTCTGAAAGTTTTCAATGGAAAGGGTGATGCAGAAAATGAAAATATAAGGAATGCAATGAATAATACATGGACTAAACCTAGAGAGAATGCATAAATGAAAATAAAAAGAAAGAAAAGGGAATGAACTCCCCTTGGGTTGCCTCCCAAGTAGCGCCTTTGTTTATTATCGTTGGCTTGACTCAATATTGCCTTCTTCAGCCCGCATCCAGTCAGGGTGTTGTCGACTTTCGGTGCATTGCATCAAACTTATTGGAAGTAGTCATCGGTGGTGTCTCAAAATCCTGAAAATCATTAAAAGTAGCATAAATATCAGTAAATTCCCTATTATCATATTTTGCAGGAATTTCAGAATTTAAAAAGAAAGAATTTAAAGGGTCGGGATCAATAAGCGCATGTGCTTCCTCCTCAACAACTGCATCAATCATGTAAGTTTGATGACACTCATCATCTTCCTCAGGTTATTTCATGATGTGAAAGATGTTGACGTCTAAGGTCATGTTCCCGAAAATAGTTTCATCAAACCATTCCTACAATTGATAAGAGCGTTAGCTGTAGCGAGAAAAGGTCTACCAAGAATAATGGGAATCTTGGAGTTAACATTCACATCCAAAACCAAAAAATCCATAGGGTAGCAAAATTTATCAATTTGTACTAGCACATCCTCAACTATCCCCTAGGTCTAATAGTGGACTGATTAGCCAATTGTAGGACCACTGTAGTAGGTTTGATCTCACCTAGACCTAACGTCGAGTATATAGCATAAGACATGAGGTTGACACTAGCCCCTAAGTCGAGGAGAGCTTGTGCAATCTTATGGTTCCCTTATGATAAAAGAAACAATGGGACAACCAGGGTCTTTTTACTTTGGCAGGACTTTTTGTTCAATTACGACACTCACATGTTCAGTTAAGAGGGCAGTTTTCTTGACATGATGCTTCCTTTTTAAAGTACACAAGTCCTTAAGGATTTTAGCATATGTTGGGACCTGAGAAATCACGTGCAAGAGAGGTAGATTGACTTTTACTTGCTTGAGTTGCTCCAGGATTTCACTGTGTTGACTAGTAGATTTTGAGGTTGACTTGAGGGCTTGAGGAAAGGGTACTCTAGATCGATTTTTCACTACCTCCTCACTAGGGGTGCTCTCTTCTATGTTACTGGAATCCTTCTCACTTACCCTAGGTTTGGGGATTGGTTCTGTGACTTTTCCAGATCTAGTGGTTATGACATTCACTTCCTTCAAGTTGGTCTTTCCTGATCTTGAAGTTTATGCCATGTGTTGCCCCATAGGGTTCGATTTAGTTTGTGCTGGGAATTTTCCCTCTCTCCTGTAGCTAAGGCATTAGTTAGTTTGGACATATGAGATTTTATTTCCTTGTTTTCTTCAACAATTTGGGTGATCATAGTCTCAAACTTTTGATTGTGAAAAATCGCAACAACCTCTTCAATTTCCTTAGTCTTACTCCATGCCTCTATAAATGCATGTAGAATGTCTTCTAAAGATTTCCTAGAGGATGTAGGCTGATATGGAGGTACAATGTGAGCTTTATTTGGCTGGCTTTCAGATTTTCAGCTGAGATTGGGGCGATTCTGCCATCCCGGATTGTATGTTTCAGAAAAGGGAGAATAAGGCTTTTGGTTTGTGCTTAAGGCATTGCAGTGTTCCTGATAAACTCCCCTCATCTCAGCGTAGGTAGCACACTCTTAAGCTGGATGATCAGTTCCACCACAAACAAAACACGGTCCTAATGATTCAACATGGGATGCATTTTGTGCAAGCTTTGAGCCTCTAGCACGTAAAATTTTGAGTTCTTTAGTGAGGGCATCTACCTTGGCTCTAAGGTCATCTTCCTCCTTAAGATGATAAATACCAGTACTATTCAAGTTTCCAGTGGGTCGTGACCTATTAGTACTCTCAGTGGCACTAGGTCCAGTCCAGGTATGGGCCTTTTCAGCTAAGTCATCTAGGTAGTCTATAGCCTCATCCAGATCTTTTTGCAAAAAATTCCCATTACACATTATTTCAACAAATTGACACCCCCTAGGTAATAATCCCTTATAGAAATAACTCACAATGTTCAAACTTTCATAACTATGGTGGGAGTAGAGGGCTTGCAATTCTTTGTACCTTTCCCACGCTTGATATAAAGTTTCACTCTCCTTTTGGATAAAAAAAGATATTTACTTTTTCAATGCAGCTATTTTGTGGTGGGGAAAGTACTTGCCAAAGAATGCTTGAGTCATTTCAGCCCAACTCCCAATTAAGCGTGGTCTTAATGAATATAGCCAACTTTTTGCTCTTTCTTTAAGAGAGAATGGGAAAAGATTAAGCCTCACTGCATCCATTGTACCACGTTGATTGTGAAAAATCGCAACAACCTCTTCAAATTCCTTAATATGCACGTATGAGTTTTCATTTTCAAGACCGTGAAAGGTGGGAAGAAGTTGGATCATTCCCGGTTTAAGGTCGATATGTGGCATATTAGGTGGAAATATGATGCATGACAGTGTAGATGTGCGTGTGGGATGGAGATAATCGTGCAAAGTCCTAGTTGGTGTCTCTTCATGTTCACTATCAGTCATGGTGTTATGTGATATAATGTGTGTGCCAACAGATATTGAAAAGAGGGTTAGAAAGTGATTCAAACTCTAGTTAAGGTCTTGCAATGAATCACCCTCGCTCGTCTCGATACCTATTTATAAAGCACAAAAATACAAAAATGTGAGAAATAACAAAATATAACTAAAAATAAACAACAAACTAAAAAGATAAAAGAGGAATGAAGCCACCATTTTGCTCGAAAATCCAATAATTATTTGTACCGTCTCCCCGACAATGGTGCCAAAATTTGATTACGCCCAAAGTATAAGAGGTAGTTGTAGTATGGCTTTGGGGTGTCGTATCCACAGGGAGATGGTGAATTTGTTAAAGGATCAAAAGCTCAGGATTTTCTTCGTGCTTTGTGTAAGGAATTTATCAATTTGAATGAAATGTAATTATCAATTATTGAAGTAACGAAATTTGAATCAATGTGTGAAATAATGAAGCACAGGAATTCCCTAGATTGGTTCAGATTAATCAATGTGAATCATTTATTCAAATCACTTTGAGAAACGACCATATACCTCAAGTATAATGCAGTTATCAAATCACCCATAAAATTGTATGAAATTGAAATTCAACAAATAGTTAATTTCATAATAGATAAAACATGATTGAGTTTATAAGAAATATAGTAAAAGTTAAACCAATTTCACAACAATGCTTGAAGCTGAGACCTAAATCAATTGAATTTTACTTATAACTCTAGAATTTAGATTTCCTACAAGATATTCTCACTTTAATTCATTGGAATTAGATTCAAAATCAATTACATACACCAAGCATATAATATTAGTGAATCACACCAGTGGGATGATTGAAATTGGAATTCAATACATACTTCAATTATTCGATAAAAAGAACATTGTTAAATCCATGAAAATCTAATACATATTAAACCAATTTCAAAACATATTCAATAAATAGGAAATCATAACCCTAGAATTGTTTGTCAACGAAAAACCAAATTACATGCATGAAGAGACATTGACATCAGCGACACCAATCGAGTTCATCCCTTGCTTTACCAAAGTTTTCTTAGCCTTCCATGGAGTTTCTTGGCTAAAGATGGAAGAAAAATGGAGTCCAGGTTCAATCCCCCAGGTTCTGGAGTTTTTTTGGGCTTAAGAAACGTGTTAAAAAGCGTTTCCATAAGTGATGGCGTCAATTTAGAAATTTGGCAAATTTGATCTTGGAGGATAACTATGTGTGGCACCCAAAAGTTCCCTGGATGCTTCTATGTGGTCACATAGCTTTTGAACTATGCGACCGCATAGTTAAAAATTTTTTTTGCCGGATAGATTTTAGTATTTTGACGATAACTTTTCCTCTCGATGTCCGATTGAGGTGATTCAAGTTGCGTTGGAAAGATAACATGAAGGGCTACAACTTTCAGAAATCATCTTCCAATTCGATCATCTTCCATGTCAAAAAGGGGTCTCAATATGAGGCTGAAAACTGGTGCGTAACTTTTTCGATTGGAAATTGATTTATGAAGATGTTATGATCATATTTCACTTCCTTTGACTTCTAAGCACCCAATTGACCCTTAGAATTCTTGAATCATCATTCCATTGCCCGTCTCATCTATGGATTATTTGTAACTTGGTCCCTAAACTTTCAGTTTCTTCCACTTTGCCTCTTTTTACTCATTTCTTCCAGATTTCAACATTTTCTATCAAATTGCGACCTAGACCAAAACATAAGAGTAATGAGTGAATTTTGAGATTAAATAATCATATGAATGCGACAATTAAGAGGGAAAAATGTAACGCCCAACCCGCATGGACGGAAACGTCACTCAAATCATTGTACCTTAGCCGTAAAGTTAGTTCAATATATTTTTAGTAGAAGGTATAAAGATTAAATTTTAGGATTTAATTAAAGAATTTTTTTATTTAAACAATAATCCAATTCTAAAAGAAAACAATTTCAAAAATATTTTTAGAATGGGTTCCATGCATGTAACGACTATTGACGTGAAATTTTGGCAAAACTTAAAACGTAATGTTGTTGTTCTAGTTTTTTTCCTCAAACAGTAATTGTCAAAATAAATTTGTTTTCATAGCTATCGACCTTGAAACTTCATCAAATTTTAATGTAAGGTAGTAAACTCCTTATAATATGACATAGTAAAAAATTAGCTTCCATTGATATCATATGGGGTATTAAAATATTTTTCAAAACTCAGCAGCGACCCGGTTGAAAGGTAAATCGGTGCAGTTCACTTAAAATGGCATATAAATTCCACCGACATCAAAACCACATGATTTCAAATTTATTCAGTAGCTAATCCATGATAATATTAAATCCAATTGGTTTCATCCAAAAATTTCGAGTAACGAGTGAGTTATGAATTTTTGAAAACAAGGGTAGAAGCTGAAAAACAGAGACAGCACCCAACACAGTTTACTTTATGTGACATATAACCTTTTACCGATATTGGATTGACATGATTCCAATTTTATTCAGTATCTAACTTATTAGGCTATACAATCCAATTGGTTTCGTATAAAAAATACCGAGTAACGAAAGAGTTATGATTTTTTTTAAAGATGAGGCATAAACTGAAATTTTTAAAGAGACATCAAAATTTTAAGTCGCTAACTTTTTTTTTGTATACGGTGATTTGTAAATTTATTCCTATGCAGCATATCTACTTTCAAAAATAATTTATTCATAACGAGTGTTCGTAAAATAGATCCACACAATATTCATAGGAATCAAATTTAAAGAAAGTGTAAACATCTCAAAATCAACTAAAGATGTAAATCACCGACTTCTCCATGACATATTGCATTATCCTTTACCATCATCTACACCCCAAGGAAAATCCATTCAACATATAGGAAGAGAATTAACCTATGAGTTTGAAACTCAATAGATATCATCGGTGCAATTCATTATCAAATTAGAAATTTCGAACTATAGATTCATATCGTCGCACGTAGATGGGTTTCCGGCAAAATCTAATTACTATAGCATTATCATAACACGTAGAGTCGGAGAATGATCATTCAAACTGTTGTAGTGCTGAAGCACCGTACCCGAAAGTACCATTTCATTCAAACATTTATCGAAAAATCAGATTTGAAAACGAATGAATACTTGCACCTCTATCTACCTTGAATTTTCTTGGATAAAAGAACAAAATGTATAGAAAGTCTTCCTTCTTCTCACCCTTGTTATTCCTTAAGCTTAACTTGATATGAAATATATTTTTTTTAGAGAAAATGAGATGAAATTCGAATTTGAAGAGGAGTGTAATGAAAAAGTGACCTTCCACTTCTATAACCTTTCTTTTTAATGAAAAATTAAGTGAGGGAGTTGTATTATCATTAAATTTATTAAACTTATTCTTTAACTAAGAATTTGAAGAGTTTCTAAACCATAAAAATAATTCATATGAAAGTTTTATAAAAAACATCTACATGGTGATTCGAACCTGGGTTGCCTATATTACCATGTAGATGACTATTGTAGCAACCCAGTTATTCATTAAATCTTTGTAATCAATTTTACTTAAACTTAATCTCTTAAATTGATGGACTTTTAATTAACTTATGACTTAGGCTTTCGTAATCTTACATGGGTTGAGCTTCCATAGGTCGTTTCTAAAATGGGTTAGGCTCGTGGTGCTAGATCATCACAAAATATTAGCATAAGTCCATTTTATTTTTCTCGACTACTACAAAAAATAGCATATTTTACACTCTTATTAGCGCTCTGGAGTCCCAGTTGGCCGCTATGATGACCTGTATGCAAAATCAAACGCAGAGAGCCACCCCAGGAGGCACACATTAAAACACCACCTGTCATCCAACCAGGGACTGCGGGCTTGGGGGCGCCAAGGATGACGGTTGAATAGCCCGTGTCTCCCATGACAGATCTGGAGCAAAAAATGGAGGAGATCATAATGCAGAAGATAGATGATGCGTTATCCTGGAGAAAGGACACGCGTAGGTAGATGGTTTTAGAAGAGGACATGTTCACGCCTGAATCATGGCGGTCCCTCTACCCAAAGGCTTCAAGCAGCCTATGATAGAAGCTTATGACAGGGTCACAAATCCACTTGACCATCTCCGGACCTTTGTTGATTTAATGAGATTCTATGCAGCACCCGATGCAGTGATGTGCCAGTCATTCCCTCTGAACCTCAGGAGGGAAGCTAGAGACTGGGTGGCACCATTAGCCCCCAAGCTATCCGAAAGTTTGATGAACTCTTCAGGAGCTTTGGGGCCTATTTTCTCGGTAGCAAAAGAAAGAGAAAGATGGCCATTAGACTGATACAGGTCATCCAGGAAAAGGATGAGTCTTTGCAAGAATACCTGGCTAGATTCAGCCGCCCGACCCTTGGAATAGATGACCTTCAAATATCAGTAGTGGTAATCGCATTGATGAACGGAACTTGAAATCGGGCCTTCAAGATGTGTGTTTCCAAGAACTCTCTAGCATCAATGCACGACCTATTGAAAAAGGGAGACAAGTATGTTGATGTCGAAGAAGCGGAGAAGGTCAAAAACACATCAGATAGGGATGGGAAATGGAGTTATAAGGAAAAGGTGGGAGACGAGCTAAGATCTACCAACAAAAATAAGCCAAGAAGTGAGAAAATGGGTAAGGGGACCATCCAAAACCAACCAGTCAAGCAAAAACGGGAGAAGTCCAGGACGTTCACCCCTTTAAATACCCCGCGCGTGAAGCTATTGATGGAGCTATGAGATATGAAGGAGCTTGAATGGTCGAGGCCCATGGTAATGCCAGTCGACAAGAGAAACAAGGGCAGATATTGTCATTTCCATAAGGATCATGTGCATGATACGGAAGAATGCCTACAGCTGAAGGAGGAGATCGAGCGCCTCCTGAGACGGGGGCTCTTGGGCAAGTATGTGAAGGACAACTAGGGTAAACAAAAAGTGGAGGACCGTCCCTCGCCCAGGGTGGGAGTGATAAATATGATTGCAGTGGGGATAGCAGGAGA